CTGGTAGCTTGCCTAAATTTATTTATTTATTTATTTATTTATTTATTCATAGACTGTCCCAGCCGCTTAAGCAGCTATGCAGCGTTCAACTAAACGTAAAAGAATTTCCCCTTTCTCGCTTCTAAGAATTAAGCTGTTCCTCTCACGAACTGCTTCCTCTTTCCGCTCAAATGTGGTCTTCCTAGCACGGCTAGTCATTATGTTTGTTCTGTATCTATGTACTTGTCAGGCCCTTCCCGGCCCTCCTCGACTTCTGTTTAACAATAATCACTCGTTTGCGTGGCTGTTGCGTTCTGTGGGCAGAGCTGTCTCTTGTCCTCCTAGTTCTCTTGGCTGTTTGTACTACTGTTTGCGGGCTGCTTAGTTGAATTGAGCAACATCCGCTAGAGCAGCCATGATTGGAATGCGCTATTTGAGTGCCGATGTGACCGTAATTGCAGGAGTTGTATGATTTGTGACATGCTCGGTGCTGTTTCGGGCCATGTCCAGCCCACCTCCGCCAAAGCGTCATCACAGCAGATTGACGCGTCTAGACACGTCAATTGAAGTAATTGTTTGTGGAGGCAGGCTGACTGTGAGTTCTGTAATCTAGCGTGTCTTTATAGATAAGTTCTGAGCTGTTGGTGGTGTTGTTATCAATTTGTGTAAACGTTTGTGGCGCTGAGTGTGACTATGTTGAATAGCCCAACTCTGTGAAGTGCTTTTCTTTTAATACAGTTTGTTCGACCATATCCTCTCTTCCGTCCCGCGTCCTAGCGTACTTTGCCAGTTGAAGATCCGTAAACTATTGTCGGGCAAGAAAATGAAGTGACAAGGTTCACTTTCTATCAAAGGGCGTATCTGGGGGAGGGCACCACTCCCTTCATATACTGTACTGTATGTTTGTTGTTTCGTGAGGTTCTTGAATTTGGCTTTGCACTGCGTAATCGCAAGGTAGAGGGCATTGTGTCCGTGGAGATGTGTTCTGTGCTGTTGGTGGTCGTGTTGTTGGTGGGCATATCCATCCCTTCGATTTCGCCTCTCCGTCGCGTACTCCTCAATCTCCGGCACCGTAAACAATTGTCGGGCAGGACAAATGGAGTACCCAAGTCCACTTTCCATCGTGGGGCGTACCGAGGTAGGGGCGCAACTCCCTTTACGGTACTGGGGCTGTGATGTTTGGTGTTTCGTGAGGTCCGGATGACTGACTTTTGGCGTTGTCGAAGCGTCATTGTTTGGGGATGATGCTGTTCCTGAAGATGTGTTCTGTGTTGTTTGTATTGGCGGCGGTCTGTCCCCTCTTCCACGCGTCTCGATCGCGTCCTTCCCAAACGTGTGATGCCGTAAACTCTTGTCGGGCAAGAAAATAGGTCCCTCAAGTCTATTTTCCATCAAAGTGCGTATGTGATAAGGGCCAACGTTCCCTTCCACGTACTGGGGCCGTAATGTGAATGTTTCGTGAGGTTCGCACACAGGGAATTGGCGTGTTGACGCGTCGTCAGACGGGGATGCCCGCGATTTGGATCAGACACCTACCCAGGCACCTAGAGACAGCCGTACAGTCTCTGCGAAGGTTCCTAGAGGCCATCTCGTGAATTTTCGTCAAAATCAGCTTTGCAATGGAATATGAACTCTCCAAAGGTCTTCCATTGTGCTGTTAGTGTCATGATAGGGCCTCAGGCGTGGGACACGGCTGAGTTGCCTGTAAACCCTTCGCTCCACTAGCGGGCTGCTAACAGCACCAAGTGGAGGGAATTGTTTACAGGGGAGAGCTTGCCTNTTTATTTATTTATTCATAGACTGTCCCAGCCGCTTAAGCAGCTATGCAGCGTTCAACTAAACATACAAGAGCGTCCGTTTCTTGCTTCTGAGAATTAAGCCGTTCCTTGTCCGAACTGCTTCCTCTTCCGCTCAGGCGCGGTTACTACTGTACGAATAGCTATCATGGCAGTTCTGTATCTATGTACTCGTCAGGCCCTTCCCGGCCCTCCTCGACTTCTGTTTGACAATAATCACTCGTCTACGTTACGCTGATTGCGTATATTGGAGTACTGTGGGTGGCACTGCTCGGAATTGACCGAGCAGGCCAGTCCTGAGGAGCATCTTGGCTGCTTGTACCGACTTTGACGAGCTACAGAGAATGCGCTTGACGTCAGCGCATGATCGCTTGCCTGCCCACATTTTGAGTCGTTCTTCCGTCCAGTCGCGGCATTCCAGGAGAATATGTCGTACGGTCTGAGTCCCGTACCCGCAAGGGCATTTGTCGGTGTCCGCTCTGTTGATTCCATGGAGGTAGGCCAAGAGGCCGATTTTGCCTGTCCGCATCTGTGTGATCACTGAGCTGACCGCTCTATGTTTATCTACATGCGTTTTCAGTGTGTCCTTTTTCGGTCGGATGCCGAGTCGATAAAGGTCTCTTCCATGCTTGGCCGATTCCCACGACTGGTTCCATTCCTCCTTCATCGCCTTGCGTATGATGGACTTCGTGGTAGCAGTGAGGGTTCGTAGCCAATCCGGCTCCCGTGGAGGCGCCGTAGAGGTCTGTTGATTTGGATCGTGACCGGCAGCTTCCTTCGCTGCCTGATCGGCGGCTTCGTTGCCTCGCACTCCGACATGTGCCGGGATCCATCGGAATTGCACTACCCATCCTAGGCTTCGGAGTTTGTCGAGTGCTTGTATAGCTTCGACCAGGATATACTGTCCAGATGGGCTCTTTGGGTTCCTCATTGCCTGGATCGCGGCCTGGTTGTCGGTAAATATGGCGCACTTTCCGGGTGCATTTGTCGCTGCGTTGATGTCGAGTACGATCTGGAGTGCTAACACCAGCCCTCTCAGTTCAGCTGCGTATACCGTGGACGTGCTGGACACTCCCATGTATTCTGTTCGCTTGGTTGGAACACCTTGAATCCGAGGTTCTAGTGTTATCGCGGCTGCACCAACGTGGCCGTTGATGCCGCTTCCGTCGGTATACACAGAAATTGTCCCTGGATCTGTGGCATCATGTTCTTTGATTGCCTCTTTGGCGGATTCGTTAATACATACGAATGGAGGAAGCCACCAGGGCGGAACGACATGTGGTTGGCGTTTCTCGAGTTTGTCCAGCTGCACGTCGTATTTGTGCTCCAGGATACTCGAGAGTTGATCCAGAGGGCTGTGCTCATCGCGTTCCTGGCGTGTCCATCGTGCCGAGTTCACGTCTCTCGAGTGTTTGGCCATGTCGTCGTACAGAGGACTGCTCCGGATGCGCATGGTGGTCTCTAGTACTGTTTGCTCCAGCTGTTGCTCCACTGGGAGTAGGTGAGCTTCTACATCTACTGCTGCTCCTGCGGCTGTCCGAAAGGCTCCGGTAATCACTTGGGCTGCTCGTCGCTGGATTTTCCTGATGGCCGTTATCATATCGACACCTCTGTTTATGCGGCCTTTCCCGGGGACGTGCCATGCTGAGCAGCCGTAAAGCATTTGAGGTATGATCATTGCCCTGTACACTTGTCGAAGGCTGACTAAACCTGCCCCCCACGTCGATGATGCCAGAGCTGACAACGCGGAAAGTCGCTTCGTAGCCCCAGCCTCCATCTTTTCGCGATGATAGTCCCATCGAAGCCTCGTGTCCATTTGGATACCTAAGTATTTGCAAGAAGGGGAGGCTTTGATGGTCGCGTGAGGCAAGCGAAGGGCGTGGGTGCTGTTCGTTTTTGGGTCTCTGGTAAAGTGTACAAGCTCGTACTTTGCCGGAGCGAATTGGGAGCCGTGTTTTCTTGCCCAATCCTGTGCCTTGACGTGGATGGTTTTGAGGGTTTTGCAGTTGTGAGTTGCTGATGGGCCAACTGCTAGGATGGACACGTCGTCTATGTAACCAACTGATTCCGTCTCTGGTGTTTGGCACGCTTCAATCAAATCCGCGTTGNAGAAAAGGTAAAGAATGGGCGAGGCCGGTGATCCCTGCGGGATTCCTGTTTCGATGCGTACCGAGGGTGCAGTGTACTCTGGCAGTTTGAGAGTCGTGGACCTGCCGCTGAGGAACGATGCAACCCATTTTACGATCTTTTCATCGACTCGACGTTTGCGAAGGTTGTGTAGTAACCTCTCCCGGGAAACGTTATCATACGCCCCAGAGACGTCGAGCAGTAGCAGGGTTGCCACTTTCCCCTCAGACCACGCCTTATATATCCGTTGGAGGAGGACATGAATCGCGTGTTCCGTCGATGCAAGTTTCCGACCTCCAGTATGTCTCCTGGGCAATAGTTGATATACATCGGCAAGATAAGCAAGTCGGTTGGCTATGATGGCTTCCAGCACCTTGCCCAACGTATTGAGCAAGGCAATTGGCCTGTACGACTTGGGTTGTGTATAATCGTCTTTGCCCGGCTTGCGGAGAACTACGGTGACTGCCTCCTTGAAGTGTTGGGGGCAGTAGCCCACTTGGAGACATGCGTTGAACAGTTTTTGGAGGCCGGGGAGCAGGATGTCGAGTGTTCGGTGTAGTACGCCGTTGATGATACCGTCGGCGCCAGGGGCCTTGTTCGGGGCAGCCCTGCGTGTTGCCTTTTCAATCTCTGGCAGGGTGATGTCAGGGCATTCAATGGACGGAGGATATTTGTAGCCATTGATGTCCGAAAGGTCAGCCTGACACGGAGGGGGAAAGAAGGATTGACGCAATACTTCGGCCTTCTCCTCAGGGCGATAGACGAATTTTCCATCGGGCTTGGAGAGCGTCGGGGTGCAGGCGGGCGGTATGTCTTGTCTGTTCTTGGCCCACTTGACCAGCTTCCATAGTCCGTTTTTGGATGATGATGCCT